GCGCGGCGCCAGCCAGTTTTTTTTAAGTGGTTGCCTGCCCGTTTCGACAATTGCCGGAGAACAAGCTGGCGCCACGTCGAACCCTGCAGGCCCAGCGTCCGCAGCGAATAGGACTGTAATACTTCTCGCTTTCTCTGAAATACAACAATTCCACAACGTTCCAGGATCGAATTCATATGAAGAAGCAGCTGCCTATATGCAGCTCCAGTTTGAGAATATGAATAAGCGAAGAGATGGTCAAAAAGAGATTTACACTCACTTCACATGTGCCACGGATACCAACAACATTCGGTTCGTGTTTGATGCCGTCACGGATATCATCATTCGTGAGAATCTGCGCCAATGTGGCCTGTTCTGAATGGACTGTACTGGATCGGCAGACCAACTCAGGGTCGGCAGACCAAATCGGCTCAAATCATCATGCATCTTTGAGCATCAACCTCATTCATTGTGTACTTCTAAAAAGCTGCTATATATCACTGCTTAGTAGGCCTTCTCGACGAAATTGCCCTAGTTTTTCCATACATATCGTTCTAATGTGCATGCTTCATTTAAAGAACTGGGAAGTGTCCTTTCGAGTAGTTCTAAAACGTTGTTCTTTGTGATAATTGGAGGTGGTAGCTATAGAAGGGACATTTTCAAAGTTTATCACAACAAAAGCTAATGGGTCTGAGCGAGGATTTTGTCGACATTTGGAAAGAGAGACTGCTTTTCCGTACAGGAGCCTTTCATAAAGCCCGGCTTTGTTGGGGAAATCCCTGATCCCAGTTCCCAGTTTCTCTCTCAAATTGAGCGGTTTCCTTGTGCTACCCATGGTTTCTCCATTTGCCCAAAATCTAGTGCAAAAACAGCAGCACCTGTGTCAGTTTTAGTCATATCAGAGTTTTTTTTGGTAGGAAATCTAACTGGATAAGTGGCACAGGAGCGGAGGTGGCTGAGTTGAGCCAATCGCCAAAGTATGAGCAGTCCACATCCAATTCTCTGCTTGATCGGTGCTCTCAACGAGAATAGCCTTCTCGGCACAGCGCAAGCGACTCTGGCAATTAGGGAATCGCGCACTGTGACCAAACGCGCTCCACGCTAATCCTTGAACAGCTGAACCTGTTGATTCAGTCACCTTCCGAATTAAACTTGTTTTGACCGTTTTATGCGAGGACTAATGTCGAGTGTGTGCTGGGACACATGAGTGATCGGAGCGACTCGGCGCTTATTGCCCACTAGCGAAATGTATGGAAAGCCGGTCTAAATGATCTATTCTGGTAGAGGGTCAGACAAGATAGAGATGCGACCTGGTATTCCTCACTGCCACTTAGCTGTGATTCGTATCTCATTCCTGCGAATACGCTGTTCGAAAGAATCGTCGACAAATGGAAGAACGATTTAAGCAAAAGCTAGGTTAGTCGATATCCTCTTGATCCCTTGGCGTCGTTAAGCAAGCGTTCGCGAATTGCGGGTCTTCCAGATCAATACGTATACTTTCCATTGTCGCCGATTCTCCTTAATCGCGGATTCTTCACTTCCGCTATAGTATGAACCCCACCCCTCCTTCGCCTTCGTGGTTATGTGTTTCAAGAAAATATGGACCATATGCAGTTTTGGTTTTCCGGTGGGTCGAAAGCTTGGAAGGCGTAAGGCAGCGTTCAGACTCCGCGAGGCAGCGCTTCGGTTCGATGCGATCGATGCAGTCGAAAGCATGCGCATCGATCGTGTCGAACGCGCGACCGAAGCGCTGCCGTCGCGGAGTCTGAACGGTGCCCAAGCGGGGGCTGATCTGGGAACTGACCCTTGGACTGCCCGTAGGGTAACGTACCGCTTGCCACTGCACCATCTCCGCGCCGTTTTATCTGGGCTCTCACAGGTGCTGCTTCGATTTAGCTTTTCAGTTTTTTACAGCTTGAGTTGCCTTTTGTTTCTTAAAGAGTACTCTTAGCGCTTGCAGTTTGCGACAATTTCATATCAGTTTTTATGATTCAGTTTTCACTTGAATTTCGTGTTGTATGCCTTAAATTTTGATTACTTTGTAAAACTTTCCTCTGCATTTATCTTTTGTAATAAGCCCAAAATATTCTAGGAAGCGCTTCTTCGATATGTTTCATAGTGTTTAATTTATTAATTGCATCCCATTAATTAACCATAAACTCATAATCATTTTCATGTTAGGTGCATAATTTACGCGTCGCTTTCGTAGTTCGGAGGGGCCACGCGACAGTATGTGTCTCTCAGGCCGCTTCATACTTGCGACTGAGGAATCGGCGACTTGGGCACTTGACGATTTGAGAGGTGCGCCATGAGGAAACTATAGGTACCTATCTAGCGATTGGGGGCCTTTGGAGGTCGCCGAATCGCTGAACCTCCGCTGGTGACCGGCGCCGATCAATACCCAACCACTCCTTTGGCGCGCGCGACAAGTCCCCGAATGGCCGGATGGTTCGTTCTCCGCACTCGCCAGGTCGATGCCTAAAACTTCCTTTGTCGCGCAATCTCTCAGATCGCGGAATCTCCTCAGTTGAAAGTATGAACGCGACCTTATGTCCACTGATTCTCAATCTTGGCAGAGCGCAGACGGCTAGAGTCAGTGCGGCCTTGTCTCGCCAACAGACAGCTGCGTAGCACCTCAGAACTACGCTGGCGCCATCGACCCACAATACCTGATTTGCAATGCTCGTCTCGGTTGCGGAATCATTTTTTTCAATTTATTTTTTCTAGAAATTTTCTTTTTTAGACTCGTCCCACTTTTGCTAAATTTCAGATATGTAAATGGTGGTAGTTACTCTGTACTTCTCAAGGTTTTCGAATAATTTACCTTTTCGAATTTTTGTAATGCTTCCTTGAATTTATTTAATGATTCTCTTTTGCAACAAACAAATATTCTCTTTGTAATTTACGGTTTTATACATGCCTACGTTTGTTACGTGTTGCATATTAAATGAAGCTTATTACTCGTAAAAAATTGTATTGATTTTCTTATGAGGCTTGCTTCACTGATTAAGCTCATTTGAGGAAAATGTGAGGTTTTTGTGAGGGTTCCAGTGATTCTCTGGGGACTTGAGAAGCGTTATCAAGTCATTCTAATTAAGGGCATTGTAAGTGCTAGCATCTTCTGATGACAGAGCACGTCCGCCTCTTCTTTCTTTCGCTGGAGAGCAAAAATGGAATTTTCGAGAAAAAAAGAATTGGGAGAGAGATAGGTAGCTGGAGTATTGTAGGTATGTGGGGATAGGGAGGGGGTCGTATCAGAGAGGAAGGAATTGTGAGGAAGGAGGGGGGGGGGGGTCATATTTTGCAGGGCTGTCCCCCTACGGCAGCACGTGCCTTGTCTGCGAAGCAAAATAGTTGAAGGAAGGGGGGATGGCGCTCAGTAGCACCTCCGTGTCCCCTCCTCTAACCAAGGAACTTAGTGGTAACCAAGGACTTACTTAGGAGCGGCCATATGGTATACAGCACATGTGAAACAGGAAAAGCCGCGAGACAGTACGACCCCGCCCCTCCCAACTATGAGCAAGTACGCCCCCCCCTCCTTTTACAACGTCCGTGAAGCGAGAAAAATCAACTATCAAAATAAATTTTTCTCAGCCCAAATACGACCCCCTCTCCTGGCGGCCAAATACGACCCCCCCCTGTTGGAGATTACCCAACAACGATGTGCCCTGATCCTTGACACCTAACTTTTGGTTGCGGGAACAGGGGCAGAGAGACACGGCCGAGTAGTTCTCCCCACGACTACATTTCTGCCCGTATGGTGAACCTGGAGCTGTTAAAGGGACTGCCGGCGTCAGTTTGCCACTCATATCCACGAAAGGAGGTCTGAAGGTTCGGATCCAGGCATTCCGCTTAATAGCTCGTGGTGCAAATGACGCGCGTGTGCAAATTGTAGGAATTGCCACGCCAGCCACTTTAGTTATGTTGCTACAACGTGGACCTCCGACGCTGCACATAAAGTGATGTTATGAAGAAGGATATACTAGTTGATAAACAAAGAAGTGAAGTGAAATTCCGAAAGGTACTATCGATTTCGGTGTAGATGCTGGAGTGTGTCCCGAAGCTGGGTTTTACGCGGTTCCAGCCCGTTTTCCCCCAATTATAGTCGCTTAAACCTGCTGGAATTTCTTCATGAAGTTAAAAGGAATGAGTGCTTCGCCGTACTGTTTTGGAATCATGGTCGAGCTAAAGAAATTGAATGCTCTTTGCAAGTCTTTTCTTGAGGCCTCCTAGAAACACGAGAATGCCAAGAGGGGTTGAACTTTTGAAATAATTGGCCGTGTTATTGCTGTCCATGCATCTCTCTATGTATCGGACGTATATGAAAAGCGACTAATTTTGTAGAATGGAGCGGCTACGGCGAAGTTGTGAAGGTGTACGGGCCTTAGTTATAAAGTTTTTCTTTTCTTTCCAGCGATTTGGCTACGAAAAGTCACGTCGCAAAGGCATGGAAGCAAAAAAGGAACTAATGGTATTCCAGTTCCTTTCTCTTGTCCTTCTTCCTCAATTTGGATTTTGTTTGCTTTCGGCTTTCTTTTTAATTAAAAGTAAGGTGCTGTGTGCATTAGCCATCTTGATGGCAGAGGAGCGGAACTATAAAAATGAAGGATGTGAGCGAATGGATAAATTATGGCGAGGGGTAGGGAACGGAGGAGTGTTGAGGGAATGGATGGGCCTGGGAATACTAAAATAAGTAACCTTGATTTTCTCGGAAAACTCCTTGCGTTCGATCTCAAGGTGAAATCAGGACGTGTGTTCAAGCAGGTGTTTCCCCCTTCCCAAACGACTGGCACGAGGAAGCTGGGCGAAGTGCAAGGCTTGGTTGGTGTGGAAGGGTTCCCAAAATGTGGCGCAGTCATGGTTCGTCGTATATCGAAGATCCCCTACGAGATTGTGTTAGGTCGCTGGAGAGGGCTGTAATTTGTTTGAGTAAACTTTTTCTAATCGTCAATTTTTAATCAGGCGCGTTTAATCAGTTCTTCTTGGATTGATCGCTGACTGATGCTCATTGGTGGGGCAGCCGGAAGTCGGATTATTCTGGCCCTCGTGACACCACACCAACTGATTGAGACGTTATCAACTATAAGCCGAGGGCGTCGTATTTCTCAAAGTTTCTGCTTTCTAATAGGGAACTTAGCGCTTAGTAAAAATTCCCTTCAATGTCAGGATGTATCCTGATCATCAAGGCACTTGGTATAACCAGAACGGTAGTATTTCTGATACCGATCGGTAGTATCTACTTCTTCCCTCTTCCTTGTTCGATTGCGAATTTCGGGGAAATATGATGAGAGCGTAAGTACCTTCTTAGAGAGTGAAGTGAGCATTTGGAGATCGTATTTCGGAGAATCCTTCCCAACGCCAGGACGTGTCTTGGATTCA